GACGGGCCGTCAATTCCAAAAATAAATTTCTATGATCTTATCAAAGCCCCAAGAGTAAGCAATAGTTCCAATTTGAAATTGAGAATAATTATCGACACCAATGGAATCGAAATGTATGCCGATGAGGGACTAACAAGTATGAGCGCCCTTTTCTTTTCCGAAGACGGCATTGCATCAAAAATGAACATTCAAATTCATTCGGCTACGAATTCGTCTATGATTCAATTGAAAGAACTAAACGTGTATGAAATGAAAAGCATTTGGAACAATGACAACTAAAAATCGTGGACGCAAACGCAAATATTAATTCCTATTTCTTTAAGTTAAAATGTATTTCTCATATTAAAATAAATAATAAATAAAATTTAATAATACAGTTGTTTAATAGAATAGTTGATACTTGCTACTGACCTACTCTATTTGCTAGGGCGCATCAACCACGTCATCTTTTTCTTCAATGATAACGCAATGAATATAATGAGTAAAAGATTATGTATATCATTTAATTTTTAAATTACGTAATTGAATTTTTGGTAGTTCACACTGCGTGCAATGATAATTACATCAAAATATGTGTCGTTCTAAAAAGATCATGGTGTTATATAATTGATTTTGCTGTTTAGTAACTGCACAAATTTTATATTTAGAAAAATCAGAACAAGAGAAAATCGCGGAAAGAAGGTGACATTCTTCTTACCGATAAGAATGAATTTTGTATAAAATCACTGATGTCAATGTATGACATGATCTAGTCAATATTCACCTTCTTTCTTGATAGCATTATTTCGTAATGAGAAAAATTGTACTTCAATTTTAACTTGATTGAAACTTTTTAAGTTATTTCCGACAAAGTGTTTCGAATCGACATTTTTCTTATTGTGTTTTGGATGGTTTCGATTTCCAGTGCGGTTTATGATGAAGTATATCGACCTCAATTACATTATTCCCCTCCAAAAGGATGGTTAAGCGATCCAAATGGTTTAGTCTATGAAAATGGAATATATCATCAACATCATCCGAATACAACAAATGGAAAAAGTACGAACAATCATTAATCATTAAGTTACCAAGATCTATAATTCGCGTAATTTATTGGAATGGGAACTTGTGAGTGAATCCGGAGAATTCGATGGAGCGCATAATGGAAGATGGGAATGTCCTTCACTTTTACCTTTTAATGTCACGATCAATGGGTAAATCGATAAAAATGTGCTTAATTTTCGATTTTATGAATAAAAATTTCTTTTTCAGAACACAAGTTGAAAAATACGTTATGATAATCACTGTTACCGACTATCAAAACCCTGTGCACCAGAACTTCATAGTTTCCCACGATGGTGAAAAATTTACGAATGAAAACTCAAAAGACACAATATTATGGCTGGATCATGGACCGGATAGTTCAGCTGGCATTACATACAGTACATTGCCAGATGGTCGACGTATTTTTCTTAATTGGATGGGACGGTGTGAATATGCTGCAAATTCGTATCTCAGCGTTTGGAATGGACAAATGGGCATTCCTAGAGAATTAAAAATGGTAACAGTGAATGATCAAATTCGCCTGACATCATTGCCAATTCGTGAAATGAAATCTTTGAGAATCAACCCAGTTCACAAGCAAAACATTAATATCACGAATGAGTTCGTATATAAAATTGCCGACAGTGAAAAGAAGAAACATTTGGCTGATATTGAAAGATGACGAATTGAAGATTTCCTTTAAAGACTATGAATCAATTTTGGACCGATCGCGTTCAGGAAAAATCATTCCGAATTTCGATAAGTCGGGAATTGGAAACGGCACTTTTGATAATAAATACGACAAACCATCAGTGTGGGAATTAACTTTCAAGGATCTTTTCAAAGCCCCAAGTTATTGTTGTCTTATATTATATTGTTACACCGCTCTCACATTTTCAATGAACCTGTTTGCGTATACGTTAGGTAATCATAATCATATAATTAAAATCGCATTTTAGCATTCAGAATCAAAAAGAGATTAGTCGAAAATTCGACAACGATGTTTGTTTCATTTTGTTTCAGAAAGCTTAAAAATAGCGTGACTTTTTGGATTTTTATCAACTTTGGTAATCGTGAAGACATGCAAATGTGTTGCTCTTGTCATTCACGCTACTGCTTGCTTGATTCATGCTACGTAACATCGCTTCAACATGACATTTACAATGTATTTTTATCACATCAAAAATGATAATAAAGCACGCGAATATGCAATCGCAAAAATTGAGTGAAAAAACCATAATTTTCATGATAGATTGTAATTTGTTCAATTTTCGGTTTATTTTGTGTCTATTGCCTTCATATTTTTCTATTTTTCCATTTTTTCATTACCACAAGATGCGAATGAAATCGTTTTGAGAAAATATGATGTTATGATGTATTCTGAAAAGAATTTCCTTATAAATACAAACTTTTGAACTCTTATCGTTTTTTTGGTGTTTGCATGCCAACAGGCGTTTTATTTGTGCACATGAAACATGTTGCTTTCCACTTGCTTTGGTTTTTTACACGCTTACAAATCTGTTATATGAGTATTTTTCAAAAAAACATTTTAGAAACATTTCAATCGATTATTTTTGTTTACGGTATTCTAACAACTTAGCGATTTATGATGGCAAGATCAATTATGTGACAATTAACTGTTTTACAATGTAATCAATCATTTTCTTATTTTTTTTATTTTTTTCCAAAAATTATCTCAATGCTTTACGTAAATATGAAATGGCATTTTCATTCATTAAATGCCATCTTATAAGCAGTGTTTATCAAACACTCGACTCATACTCTTTTACTAAACAAATTCCCACCATTATCTAGGACAACGTTTCTTTTTTTGTCAAAAATTGATTTACTTCGACAGAAGAAACGACACTGATTATAAGTATCAATTTAGTTCATCAAACATTTCGTAAAAACTGAATCATATCTAGCTGGTGATAATGAAAATCACAAAGTCGATATCGGTGGATCCAAATCCAAGAGGTGAGAGAAAACTTCAATGGAAATATTCGTGCTATCGTGAGTATATTGATAGAGCTTGGCTGTTGCCAATTTTCGAAGCAAGTTTTAAATGTTAATTAATATCACATAAAAAGTGAATAACATTTTCTTGGATTCTAAATGAATAGTCAGCTCAGTACATATAACGTCTGGATTCTTTTCTACGAAAAACTTTCATCTCATATTTGAAACTGTGCCAAAGCAAAACAGAAAAATTGCAATTATTTTGTAATTTACGAAAAAGCACAACTTTTTAAAATTGATTCTGAATTTCTTTCCAACCAAGTCCAATGGCTGACTTTGGTTATGACATCGAACATTTCTGTGAAATCGATCCAAATATCCTGAACAACAAAGGAGTTTCCATTCCTTAATGAGAAATATTTAAAACATTTTGGATTTCATGCCAAATAAAGGTTCCGATAAATGTTCGTGGTTTTAAAATTCGGTGAAATAAGAAGAAAATTACATGGACTATTATATCTATGCGGATGGTAAAAAGAACAACAAATAATTGGGTGTCAAATTTCTGTGGTTCTTTTGATAAGTTTAACAATCAAGGTACAAAAACGAATATTTTTACACAACAAAAGGATAACCGGATTCGATGTGAATGTAGTAAGAATTCCCGAAGCACATTGAGTTTCTACCCGTAATTAGTAGAAATTCGCAAACGAGATACGTTTGATTGTGGTTCGTTCGCTTCAGAAGCTTTAAATTAAAATGTCATCGTTCATGTCAGGCGAAATATGTAATAAAATCACAATTACTTCCAAACTGATAAAGGTTTAAAAGTGTATACCACACACAAACCCAAATTCAATGACGAAAAGCAAATATGATAACGTTCTCTATTGTTTTATTTCAGAGAGCTTGTAAAAACAATGACACACCGGGTGCTTATCAATTTTGGGGATCTCGAACACCGAATTGATATTTAACTAAAAGTAAACTTGGCGAAAATGTCCCTGAGGAATTCAAACTGGCAGCAGTAAGCACAAACTTATGTTACGTACAGAAGTATAAGTTAATGACTTTTCCATCACTAATTTCAATGCACTACAACCAAGAGTAAAGTTTTATCGAAAATGAAAATGAAGCATGCAAAAGTACAATTGTTAAAGTTGACTGACACGATGAAATATTTTAATCAACCTGTTCTCCAAATGAAGAACACCGAAAACTAATGCTATTCATTTATTTTACTGCTGCAAAATAAACGCAACTGATGTCATTCTGGGAAAATACCATGCTTTTGAAAAGTACCTTATTCACAAAAATATCACAATTTGTTGCTTGCTTTTGGGAAGTTGTAGTAAAGAGGTCACGACAGGAATCTAATCGATTAACCGATTGCTTGTTTCAATAATTTCTCGTTTAATTAATTTTTGGTTGGCCAAAACTTTTTTGGTTTTTGATGTTCGTATGGTATGTGGGCAAACTTTTCTCATATTTTTAAAACTCTCAATTTTAATCGCATCGTTCATAACATGATTTTAACCTTATTTTTCGAGTAAAAGCCACTTTTCATGGTCTTTTCATGTTCGTTGAATATGGACTGTTTGTAGATATGGAAAGAAGATCTAAATTTATATGAAACGAAAACCATTCTATTAAAGACAATGCTCTAGTGTATTCAATATCTCTTATATTCATTGGTCGAATGACTTTGAAGCTTTCATTTATTATAAAAAGAAAAAACAATTTCTAATAACAACCAAGATAAATACTTTGCAGCTTGTAACCATATATATAAAAGATATGCATTCAATGACTATACATATGGTCCTATAATAAACGTTGAGTACTCTTAAATGCTAAGCTCTAAACAAATATACGTATATGTTGAACAATTTAATAGATAAAAATGCTTCATTTTTGGGCTTATCATTGAAATATGGAGCCAATAACCATCGTCAAGATACAACGTAGAAACGCTAATTACTTAATTAATTATTTTTGTAACAATATTTATCCTTGATTAGAAAATTGCAGGGTATTGAATGCCCAAAAGCGAAGCCAAAAGTTCACTCACAACAACAGTTTAACAATTTATTGAATATTGAGTGAACAACAACGGCCAGATATCAATAGGTTTGAATATGAGAACAGGATACGATGAAGAAAAATTAAAATGTCAACAAATTGAGTGTCAGGTATGAATATGATTGATGAAAATAAATCGCAAATTAAATAGTTATTGACCTTTTGTTTTTAATATTTTGAATATTTCTATTAATTTTTCAAGTTTTAATAAATCAGCGTATAAAATCGTTGAATTCACCTGTGAACCAACACACCGGTTTGCTAAGCACATTATGTCAAATCGAAGCGCTTAGATTAGGATCCTGGTTTCACATTAGTACACACTTTATACTACCCAGTTCATACGAACGACGCTCAGCGCATTCTTCATGAATGAAGATTTCAGCTCTGAAAATCAAATTGATGACCAATTATTTCATATTTTTATATGAAAAGGCATGAATTCAATGCTTCATTAACTTTCGGATTATATTATTTATTAAGAAAACTTACTGATAATTTTTGACTTTCTTTACAGCTGTTGGCTTTACTAAACCGCCAATTAACGAATTATAAAATGTTGTGGATTGATTTATGTCTGAAGTTATTGAGAAAACTGTAACTTTTTTTACTTATTCAATGGTGTAGCAATCTATATAATACGTCTGCATTGCATGGACTGACTCCACACAGTGATGCATTCTTGTTGTTATTTTTATAAACGACATCACTTTGTGACGGATAAAAGTTTATTATTTCTTTCATATGCGTGCAAATACCCTTCGATGTCCATCAATCAATTTCAACGAAACCAAAACAATCATTCGCGTTCATAACTTTGTAGCAAAATAGAATACATAAACGTATATGTCTAAAGACAGTCTAAATGCAATTTACTCCAATAATATTTCTATTTTAGTTTGTGATTAATTAGCACTCAAATTAAGTGCCTTACAATATAATCAATCATATGCACTTACAAAAAGAAAGTGTCTAGGCACTCTTATATGTGGTTTTTAAGATTCCATCGTAAATCTAATTCTTCGTATTGCCAAACTTGATTCGCATTACCGTAAATTTACGACGTAAATGGAAAGGTCGCTTAACGTAATAACGCATATTGGGTGATAAAATGTATGTCTTTTTCAATATTCATCACAAACCACTCAACTCATATCTTGTGACGCCCCAAAATTGATGTCGATTAACAAATAATTTGTTGTCATTACTTTTGAGCGTAAATCTAATTGAATTATTTGAATGAAATAATAAACACTTGAGAAAATTTATAATCTCATTGATATGTCAAAATATTAAATGATCTGATTTGAAAATGAATTGGGTATAAAAGGGGCAAAATTGTGGTGTTATTCTAACATTTGATCTTCAATTGCAACAATTTATATCCGTTTATTCAAGAAGGTGAATAATTATATCAACAACAATTATACTGAAATTGTACCAAACAACTCAAACATTTAAATTAATTAAACGTTTTTATGTGACTGAAAGTTTTCCGCTAAATACTTAACGCTCATTTCAACTTTTTATCTTACAGTCTGACGATTACGGGGAGCTGCTGGAAAATCAGTTATTTCAATTATGCAGGTTTTTAAATTTGTTTGTGTGGCAGAAACGTGCATTGCAGCCAACGGACGAGAAACATAGTGCAGTCATAAAACAAAAAATAAATTGGTATGAAAATGGTGTGTTTTATCAAATTTATCCGCGGTCGTTTAAAGACAGTGATGGCGATGGGATTGGGGACATTCGTGGTGTCATTCAAGAGTTGGACTGCTTGAAAGAATTGGGCATTGATGGAGCTTGGCTGTCGCCAATTTTTAAAGTGAGTACTGAGATCGAGATTCAATTCAAAGTAGACCCCCATCAGCCACCAAAAACCCTAGCAAATCGAAAGAATTTTTATCTCGAAATACCTTAGCAAAACGTGATTTTTTCGTTTTTTTTTGGAGATCACATTTTTGACGAAAATCCCTAGCAAATTGAAAGAATTTTTCGCGAAAAATCCTAGCAATTTTAAAGATTTTCTTCCATTTCTGAAGTTGATTAGCAAAAAAAAAAGGTCTTCACTTTCCAGTGAAAAATCCCTAGCAAATCGGAAGATTTCTCTGCTGCCAATCAATTCGAATTACAAATATGTGAACGTAGCGTCACAGAGAAAAACTCCGCGCAGCACATTAAATTTCTACAAGGAATTGGTTGAATTTCGTAAACGAGATACGTTTGCATACGGTTCATACACTTCACAAGCTTTGAATGAAAATGTTTTCGCATATTTTAGGTATTTATCACCTTGTAAACATCATTGTTGACTAAAAAAAATGGTGTTATGATGTGTGCTACACACCTCCAAAACTAAACTAAAGTGCTCATGACCTATATATGATAACACTTTTTATTGTTTTATTTCAGAGAGCTTGAAAATAGTGACACAAACTGGGTGCTTAACAATTTCGGGAATCTCGAACAACGAATTGATATGACTTAAAGTGAACTTGGCAAAAATATCCCCGAGGAACTCGAATTGGCAGCAGTAAGCACAGACTCATGTTTGGTAAAAGGGTAAGTGTTGTTAAATGTTTTTCTGTCAATTTTTCTAGTGCCATATTTAAAATTGCATCGAAAAAACAAACACAGTCGAAAAAGTCGACAGCTGTCAAAATATGGTCAATATTTTGTCGAATAGCATGCATGGTGCTTTTATTATTTTGTTTATTCCATTCGTTGGTAACAAGACAAACTTGTTATTTTATATTTATTTCATTTGCAGGCGAACAGTGAAAGCGACTGAAATTACTTTGGGAAAATACACCGCAATCATTTTGAAAGCGCCTCTTACATGAGTATAAAGTTAAAATAGCAAGGGAATTCTACCAAAATTTGAACACAAATTGCCCGCTATATACATTGCGTATTTAATTTTCTGAATACTCATCAATTACCGGAGCAATTAGCGAGATAAGTGCTTGTAATATATACCGAATATATGTAGCTTTAGATTTAACTATTTTTATTTATTCATCTTATGGTTCTTACTGTTTCCCAATTTTATATCTTAAGCACACTAAAAGTTGTAAAAGTTGAAAACAAACATAGAGTAGGTAATTGGCATTATAAAATAGTAATAAAAAGAGTATTTATTTATTTACGAGGGAAACCCCTTGAAATCTTTGAAAATACAATTTTTCTTGGCATAGATTCAATCCAAGTACAGATTTTGTTTCGGCCGAAGATGAAGAACGAAATTTTTTTTGAATTCAAGCAAAAAGATTACACTTCAAAAATGATGACAAAAACGTATAGGAAAAAGAATGGCCAAATATTTGATCATCATAAGGTTTGTATTAGGCGTTAAAATTAATTTTAGTATCGTTGTTTTCACTGAGTCGTTGAGAAAAAAATCAAGTTAACCAAGAATTGTTGGTTGAATACTGTGAATTATAGGAATGGAAAATTTCTTGTAATGATCAAAATAATATAAGATCATTAAATCATAACCATCTCATCTCATTTTTTACGTTTATCTCAATTGTTGGCGTCTTTTTGAGAGAAAATCCGCATAATAATATACCATATCATCGTATTCTATTCAATTGGAACACAGAAAAAATTCAAACAAAATAATATTCGTTGGTAATCCCATGGTAATTTTGGTTATCATAAAATAATGTTATAAAATTCAATTCTAATTGAATAATAAACGTTGTTAAATTGTTGTGCTTTAATTTCTTGTCATTCTTTGCCCGAATTGAGTAATACGATTGCCAAATATATTTGCGTTGAATGCTTTTTGGTGATGATTTGCAGAAACATCTGTATCTGTTTTTTTATCATCATAAAAGTAATTATAAAAATACAGATACAGATGTTTCTTTTTACTTGGGTAATTATCATTTCATTGGCAATCAAATGATATGGGGAGTAAAAAAAGAGATATTTGTGATAATAAAAGTCTTCATAGATGAATACTGAATAAAGACTATAAATAACACATTTGCTGAACAGTCAAAACAGATCTTCCACTGTGATAATAGCCATATACCATAAATTCAAATTCACTCAAACCAAAGATATACTTTTTTTTAAATATTAATTTGTTGTGAATACTGTTGGTCATTTTGACTCTTCATTGGATATTTTACTTTTAGTTCAATTCAATTTGTCAATGCGAATTGTGATAGAAAAAAAACGAAGCATTTTCACTTTCCAATAAACAAAGTTTTCAAAAATCAACTATAGATTGTTTAACGAGAAAATTAGAACGAAATGTTTCGAATCGATATTGTTCTTATCGTGTTTTGCATGGTTTCGATTTCTAGTGCGATTTATGATGAAGTATATCGACCTCAATTACATTATACCCCTCCAAAAGGATGGATAAGCGATCCAAATGGTTTAGTCTATGAAGATGGCATATATCATCTCTTCTATCAACATCATCCGAATTCAACAAAGGTCATAAGTAAGAACACTCAATAATTAACCAAAGAATTTTATATAATCGATTTATGCAATTTAGTACCTTTTTTATCATTATAAAAAACAGTGGAACAACATTGGGGTCATGCAATATCTTCGGATTTGATTCATTGGAAACCACTCGACACTGCGCTATATCCTCCAAGCAAAGACGTTGTTATGTTTTCTGGTGGCGCAATCTTTGACCACAACAATGTCACTGGGCTACAAACTAACCCCAACGTACCGACAATGATCTTGACGCCCACTGCAGCTCAATGGTCGTCACG